AGTTCTAATCCAGTCTTGGCCACTTAGTGAGACCCTAAAAAAATAAAAAGGGCTAGGGATGTAGTTCAGTGGTAGAGTACTCTTGGGTGCAATCCCCAATACCACCAAATAAAAAGAAAATAGAACGAAATATCCCTATGTAAAAATGAGCAGGGTAAGCAATGTCCGATGCAGCCACCTGTTTTACACACATCTCAGCCAGTGACCAAAGCAGCATCACTCACTTTCCTGCTTTCATTCAAATACCAAAAGCACATGGCTCTTGATTTTTCTGACCCAAAACTTCATTTCTATGGTTTCATTATACTGAAAAATGTCTCTTTAAGGAAAATTAATAGCTATCCATCAAATGTATATATGTATACATTGGCCAGATGCCGTAGCACATCTGTAATCTCAGTGTTATGGGAGGCTAAGGCAGAAGTATCACAAGTTCAAAGCCAGCCTCAGCAGCTAAGCAAGGCCCTAAGCAACTCAGCAAGATCCTCTCTCTATATAAAATATAAAAAAGGGCTGAGATGTGGCTCAGTAATTAAGCACCCCTGGGTTCAATCCCCAGGACCAAAATAAATAAATACATAAATAAAAATAAATCTTCCTCACCACTTTGTTAGTTCTTTCCTGGAAATATTAGCCTTCATCTTTTCTTAATTATTATAAGAGGCTGCATAGGAAGGAAGGAAGCTGGGTTTATGCCCTGTAAAATGGAGAAAATTATAATCCTAATTTCATAGTTTTCTCACGATGTGATTTCTCAAAATCACATCAAATTCCTAGGAATGAGCTGACATATTTTAACAGCTCAATAAGTGAATACCAGCTTTTGTTTTTTTTTTTAGTGGTGGTACTGGGGATTGAATGCAGGGCTTCTCTGGCACTGAGCCACATCCCCAATGCATTTTATTATTTATGTTGAGACAGGGTCTTTCTAGGTTATTGAGGCTGGCCTCAAACTTGCAATCTTCCTGCCTCAAGCCTCCAGAGTAGCTGGGATGACAAGTATGCACCTTTGACCCTGTCTAGCAGTTCTTTATTATTGTTATTACCCTCTTTCCCTCTTTCACCAAGAGTTCAAGAAAGGACTTCTGATTGGACTTTGGGAGCAAACACTCACTATGTCCATTAGGTGAGTAGTAAGATGAGGTTTTCTGAGTATCACCAAAGTCGTAGACCACAGGTATTGCTGGGCCATTGTCATTCCAACATTTCCCTAATCCATACTTCACTGGATATTTCTGCAGGAATCAAAAAGAAAAGTTTTGTAAGGACAGTAGAAATGCCACCATTTTGGACAGGAAAGGGATCCCTACAAGTCAACTGTCATTACTCAGAAACCAGTCTTAATAATGACGACTCCTTCTCCCCATAGCAGGATCTCCCCAAGAGTCCCAAGTCCTCTGTGTCTCTTCCT